AGACAGGAACTGCGTCAAGTGGAAGTTGGCTTCTCCATGCTTCCTGTTCACCCAGGTCGAAAGAGTCGGTATTAGCCTGTGTGTCCATCTACCGTTCTCTGCTGCATCCCACTCCTGCTGCCACTTAGCCATCGACTCCGTTCTCACCATTTTTCGTACTCCTCTGGTTTCTCTCGTCATATAGCACTCGTAGTCCTCCGCCAAGGTGATGCCGATTGGGATCATACCGGCGATAACGCATACTGCCTCCATCGAAATGGTTCTGTACGCACTCACGACTCGCATGGCCATGAGCCGGAACGTACTGCTCAATTTCCTTTGGTTCTGCTTCGTTTTCAGCGCTTCAATCCAGGCTGGACCTCCGTACCTTAGTATTGATGAGGAAACACTAGCCAGAAGACGTCTCTTGCTGCTGCTTGGACCAGAATTGTTCGGCATGATTCTGGCTATTGCGTTGATGACCTTCGTCGCCTTCTCGCAAGCATATTCGATGTGGCTATTAAAGTTTAGCCGGTCGTCGATCATCACTCCCAGATACTTAAGCATGCGCTTCGAAGCAATGGTGTGCTCTCCAACGGTAATTTCTGCCCGCTGCACTGCTTTGCAGTTACTGACCAACATCACTTCTGTTTTGTGGTGGGCTATCTGCAGCTTCGCTCCTTGCATCCAGTTACCAATCGTATCTATCGCCTCAGCCGCCAACATTTCCACTTCTTCCAGCGTCTCACCGGTTACCGTCAAGACGACATCGTCCGCAAAGCCAACGATCTCAACTCCTTTGGGCAGCTTGAGCGTCAGCACGCCATTGTACATTCCGTTCCACAGCGTGGGACCTAGAATGGAGCCTTGGGGAACCCCCGCCGTGATTCTAAGCGATTTCTGCCCCGTGTCTGTCACGTAGACAAGGACCCGGTTCTGGAAATAACTACTTAGAATCCTGCAGAGGTAGCCTGGAACCCTCATTCTATGGAGCGCCTTGGCGATGGCCTCCCAGCTGGCGCTATTGAATGCATTCTTGACATCGATCGTAATCACGGCGCAGTATCGATTTCCTCTCCGCTTCTGTTTGGAAGCTTTCTCGGCTCTGTCAATCACTGTCCGAATTGCATCCACCGTCGATCTCCCTTTCCGGAATCCAAACTGTCTCTCCGACAATCCGTGTTCACTCTCCGTGCATTTCGTCAGCCTGTTGAGGATGATCCTCTCTAAGAGCTTTCCTACAGTATCCAGCAAGCATATTGGCCTATACGATGCAGGATCCCCCGGCGGTTTTCCGGGCTTCGGCAACAGCACAAGCTTTTGTACCTTCCACCTATCAGGGAACTGACCATCGTCCAGACATTTCTGCAGCACCATCCTGAACATGTCCGGGAACGTCTGGATCGCCGCCTTCAACGCCACGTTGGGAATTCCATCCGGGCCGGGAGCTTTATTCGCTTTCAACCCTTTCGCTGCTGCTATGAGTTCCTCGTTGGAGACTTGTTCAACGTTGTCTTCATCTACCTCGCCATATGGTGTAGGTGGCCAGTTCGTTGGGTCATGCTGTGGGAAAAGTCCCTCCACGATGACTTTCAGCTTGTTGTGACACATTTCAACCGGCATCGTTGGGCCTCTGATCTTCGCCATCGCAACTCGGTATGCGTTGCCCCAGGGGTTGGCATCGGCATCGCGGCACAACTCCTTGAAACTATTTGACTTGCTCAGCTTTATCTTTCGTTTCAGTGCAGCCCTGGCCTCTCGGAACACCACCCTGCGCTCCTCTCTGTCTGCTTCTGTTCTTGCTCTCTGAGCACGCCTTCTGGCTAGAAGACAAGTAGCACGGAGGGTGCTAATTTCCTCGTTCCACCAGTAGGCTGGACGCCGCCTGTTCGTTGGCTCCAGTTTTCTCGGCATAGTTGTGTCACATGCCCTTGCTAATAATTCGGTCAACTCATTCGCGCTTAGGCCCGGGACGCTGTTGTCTACCCTTAGAGCTTCGATGAAGAGATCCTTATTGAATGCCTTCGTCTTCCACTTCCGCTCGCTTACTTTCGTCCTCCGCATTTCCACCGGTGTTCGTTCGCCGATACTGTACCGGATCGCCTGATGGTCACTATGGGTGTACTCCTCGCACACCGTCCAGTTCATATTTGCCATTAGCGACGTACTGCAGAAAGTAACGTCGATAATGGATTCCCTACCATCTTTGCGGAAGGTGCTGATGGTTCCTTCGTTGGCCAGACTGACGTTCAACTTTGCCAGAGCTTCCAGCAGGCTATACCCTCTTGTGTTGGTACATCTGCTCCCCCAATCCACTGCCCAAGCATTGAAGTCTCCTGCGATGACGACTGGTCTCCGTCCAATGAGCTCTTCGGTGAGCCCATCTAGCATCTGGTGGAACTGCTCAATTGTCCATCTCGGGGGTGCGTAGCAACTACATACAAAGATTCCATTGATTTTGGCGATCACGAAACCTTCATATGAGCTTGCCACCACTTGTTGTATGGGATACCTGCCCATGACTTGTATGGCCGCCATTCCTGCTCTATCCGCCACCCAGTTACCATTATCGAGAGGGACTCGGTATGGCTCTGCAATGATTGCAACGTCGCACTTTGTTTCCGTTGTTGACTGCCACAACAGTTGCTGTGCTGTGTTACAATGATTGAGATTTATTTGGGTTACCTTCATTATTGCTGGCCCACCATCGCCTTCTTGAACTCAGGGCACCTGAAACTTCCCGTCACATGGCCATTTCCGTCCTCCTTTTTGCAGAGCATGCACCTCGGTTGCTTTGTACAGTCTTTTGCAACGTGCCCCTTCTCTCCGCATTTCCTGCACAGATCAGATCTGTCAGGGCCTTTGCAGTGTCTCGCCTGGTGACCGAAGCCCATGCATTTGTAGCATCTCTCCATTTTCTTAGATACCCGAGGAATAGCTTTCAACGGGCACACTGACCACCCAACCTTGATTCGGCCAGTCTTCAGCAGCTCGTTAGCTGCGTCCGAAGAAAGTCGTATCGACGCCGTCTGCGTGCCACCATACGCCTTTCTCAACCGAATTGCCATCGGTACGTCTCCCAGGTTGCATTGCACCTTTAGCGCACTTTTCAACTCGTCTTCTGTTGTGATCTCGTCCAGATCCCTGCACTCGACCACTGACTCCTGGGATAAGGCTCTTACGTTCGCCGTCTCGCCAAGAGATTTTTCGACGAGCTCCTTAAAAGCTGAGCTCTTAACCGTAGGGTCCCTTTTCAGCTCGAATAGCATCTCGCCTTTCTGGGTTCGCCTGGTTTTCACCACATTCTCGCCTAAGTGTTTCAACTCCGGATCATCTCTCACTTTCCGGAGGAGTGCTGCGTAGGACGTTTTGTCCTTCGCCTCAACAACCAGAGCGTCACCCTTGCTTCTCTCCCTACGAGGCCTAGGATTCTCCTTATTCTTCCTGTCTTCCTTCTTCTTCTCTTCCTTCTTCCTCGCTTCTTCTTCCTTCCTCCTCGCTTCCTCTTCCTTCTTCCTCACTTCATCTTCCTTCTGTTTTTTCTTCCTCTCCTTCTGGTTCTCGACTTTACGCCACGCACCATTTTCTCCCATCTCCTTGATGCCTTCCTCGTCGTCCCTGCGTTTTTTGGGCTCCTCCTCATCTCCTGGCGTGTCCCTATCTCTCTTTTCAGGACGTGGATTTGTGGGTCACTTCGGAGTCTCATGTGCTTGAGCCAGTCTTATGCTCTCCTTGGCCTCCAGCAGAGCCTTTTCGGCATTTTCGGCCCTTTTTCTCCACTCTTGACATTCCCGATCTGCCACTGTTATGCCGGATTTGATACCGGTCACAAGTTGCTTGATCTCTTTGTGTACGTTGTTTTTATCCTTTACGAACACATAGAGATCATCGATCTTCCTCCTGACCTCCGTCATTTTGGTTCTCCCGAGCTGCAGTTCTTGGGATTTGCTACTACTGGATATTGGTGTGAATATCTGGCTTAGCCCAACGCCTGGCTGCTCTTCTTGAAACTTACTGCTGCTGCTGGAAATCGCAGTGACCCCCAGGTTCGACACTGGTGATCTCTGCAATATCCCACTCCTTGCGAACACGTTTGCTCCTCCGTTTTCACTGTCTGGCGTATTGCCGTCGTTCTTCATATTTTTTTTGGTTTTTTCTTTTTCTTCATTTTTATTTTTTTCTCCAATTTTATCCATTCTGATGGGTCCCCCCTTCGGGCCGCTATCTCCACTCGTTGTATGTAGTCTCCTATCGTGATCCCATGGTTATCTATGCAAGCAGGGAGGCCATGCTAGGGTTGACACGGTCCTTCATGGGGGCCGTGTTCAGAGCCAGATCGGCGTAAGTCAGGAATGTTACATCTGAGCCTACTACTCACCAATCACCAATTGGTGACGAGTTTTGAACGTATCCGGAGGCCTGCCAAGGTTTTACCGGGACGGGGGCAGCCGCACTATTAGCCCACTCGCCATTTCAAGAAGGTGTCACCCTTCTTTACTTAGGGAGCAGAATAGCACGACTGTCAGCCCTGTAGCGTGGTTTCCAATCCATTGTGCCGTGTCGTGTCCATAGTTCCATGCCGTATCCAGTATGCCGTAATAAGGATCTTACTGGCGTCGATCCTAATGTGCCGGTTGGCACTCCTGCGGGTTGACGAAGCATTTCCTCTATCGCCGTGTTATGGTTACCGCGCCAGTGTTCGCGTCGCACCCCCTCACTTTGCTATTGTCAGAAGGACAACATTGCCCAGGCTACACCACGGGGAGGCGTGAGGTAGGAACTTGTGAGAACCAGAGCTAGGTTGTCAACTCACCATTTGTAGCCCATTTGTGTGTGTGTGTGTGTGTGTGTGTGTGTGTGTGTGTGTGTGTGTGTGTGTGTGTGTGTGTGTGTGTGTGTGTGTGTGCATCTGATATTGAGAAAAGACTGTTAATGTTGACGAACAGAAAATAAAAAATCAAGTAGCCCATCTTACCATACATTACATAAACTTCCTCGTTTTTTTTCTACACTATCAACAGGAGATTACCGATGACTATCTCTTCAGTGCTTCCCGGCAATATCTGCATCTACGTCGCAACGGTCAGATACTAGAAACTAACACTGCTCCATCGGTGTGCCAAAATCCGCATACGATTTCTGCTGCATGCGATCTATTAGTTGGCCTGTGTCAGAACACTGTAGGTAACATGAAGATTTTGGTTAAGACTTTACTGGATATGTTTTGCAATGACATTGAGCCATTGCGGGAATGGGAATATTTGCCACCGGTGGGACCTCGGCCACCACAAGGCTTCTGCGGATTAAAAAATGCTGGTGCTACTTGCTACATGAACTCGGTTTTGCAACAACTTTTCATGGTGCCATCATTGCGAATTGGAATATTGTCAGCGCAGGGAGCTGCTGTTGATCCTAATGAGGATTTTAGTGGGGAAATAGATTCTCAAGTATGTAATTGTATGCTAATGGGAACAAAAAATTCCAAAGTAATTTTTTTATATTAATTTGCAGACAGTACAAGAATGTGACGATTCCGCTAGGAAAAATTACCATGTAGGAATATTGAAGTACGTTCAAGCTATTTTTGCCCATTTGGGTCACAGTGCTCTTCAGTACTTCACTCCTCGTGGTTTATGGAGCCATTTCAAGTAAGTACTGTCAAAGTTTTTCGAAATTAGATAACAGTGAATCTCCCATTAGTCGATATTACGGGACGCCGCCCAGTGATTCCAGTGTAGAACCGTCGTGGCGGGCATCTTTGTACTGGACGGGCTACTTTGGACGCTTTCAAACTTGTTGATTCAAATGAAGTACATTAAATAATCGATTGATTGTTTATCCATGACTTGTTAATGGGACTGTAGTTTACTCGATCGTATTGAATCCTCAGCTAAAATCATTGTACACTTCCCAGAATTAAGCGGAAAATTTAACTAACGAGTTCTATAAAAAGTGTACCTTCCCTACAATTTGACCCAAAATCGTTGTTAAAACTTTTTAAAACATTCACAAGCACCTCGGAAGTCGAAAAGTAATCAAAATACCCGATAGAGCTATATATTTCATGTTAACATTGTTTATGACAATGGTATGGTCAGGTAAAGAAAATAGAGATGTTTCTCCATACAAAAAAAAAAAATCTCCACACTCACCCACTCATGTATCCACCCCTAGTGATTTCCATCCTACGCCTGGGCCCACCTCGGATTCCTGTCGACTTCCTTTTTTTTTTAGGCTCCGCCACCGCCCCTGGGTCTGCCTCTGCTGCGATGTCCTAGCGGGTATCAATGCAATCCCCACCATATCTAAAATTCATGATTTTTTAAAAGTTTTGTTTAACCAGTAATTTGAGTAATTTGTTTATCTTTGAATGGAGCTTATGATGTATATTGATGTTGTACATTCTGTTATCAATACAGATGGAAATTCAAGACCAATAAAGTACTGATCTTCTAGTAAATTTTCCAAATCATTTTATTAAAATTCTATTTAATTTTAGCATATTATTTTGATTACAGTAAATTAGCATTAGCATACGATATAAGAGATTTAATTTTCCTTGCTCGTTTTTCGTAAAATAATCAATATTTATTCTTCTTATAATTACCTTTTAAATGTTTTTAAGTTTTTGTTATTTTTTGTGATCTGATAGTTTCCTCAGTTTGGTTAGAAGCTATAGGGGAGTGGTTTTCGGGGTTTTGGGCTCCTTAGATGTTGTAGTGGAGATTTATACTTGTTGGATGCGGGAGGAGATTGAAGGGCGGGTGTTTGACACATAAAACCTGTCAATTTCGCTTTCAGAGTGTCACAATCGGCGATTTTATTATTCGTGAATGTTCACTCAGGGTGAGCGCTCGTGATTCGTAGAATCAGATTTAATTAGTTCTAAATAATTCTAATATTACCCTGACACAGTTGTCCCCCATTGCTGGTTTGCATCGGACGTGTAACAAATTCTTTCCTCACGGTTACAAAATCAAACGTTGGTGGACATGAGTGTTTTACGAATAAACACTCTAGTCGTCGATTTAAGTGTATTTCCGAAACGCCCGGACGCAAGAGATGTTCAAAAATTCCTCGAAAATAAAGTGTAACTGTGTATATATCGAGACAATCGATGGTGAAACCGCCTTACGCTATGAAAGGGCAAATCACAACAAGCACACTTATGTTTGTGATAACAAGGAATTCAAGATTCTTGTGTATGTTGAAAGTGAAGCCGTGACAGTGCGCGTGCATGACCTTCCTTCTCACACGCAGCATTTGACCATCATCAATTTCATGAGGCAGTATGGAGTTGTGGTATCTATCACACGGGAACGGTGGAAGTACCATTTCCCGGGAATCTACAATAGTGTACGAGTCCTTCCGATGAACCTTAGTCGCCCCATTCCATCATGTGTGACCATCGATGGCGAAACAACGCTGGTGACAACAGCCCATCCCAAACAAAAGTCCGAAAACAGCTAGTAACTCCAAAATACCACCACAAGCAGCACCCAGAAGGTCAAGTGATCCAAAGTTGAATGGAGACGAGTTTCCACCATTATCATCAGCATCTGAAGAAGAGGAATCGAATCTGGAGCCAGACTCCCCACTAACAAAAACCAACGAAGAAACCGAAATGCAACAGAACAAAAACAATAACAAAAACAACACAACCAGTGATAACGACGATGACTGCGACGACGACGGTAATGACAGCTCGGATACCAACGATTTCATCGAAGCTACCAATAAAAGGCGACGGATGTCAACAAGTGAATTGACTCAAAAGGCAAATGAAATGAAGACATTGTGTTTAATCCCGGGCTGCCAGAACTTGGAACAAAATAGTAAGCATTAGCATTAGTAGAAATTGACTCATATGTCCGACGGCGGCAGAAGTTGAAGAATATTTAATCCGTTCAAAAAATAAAAACAAAAAGTATAATATTAGTAATTAAATTGAACTGCTATGAACTACAGTCACGAATGACCTTTAAAGTGTTAAAGTGACTATAATAATTTAAAAAAAAAATACCCTGGGGTTGATCAGATTTACAATTTAATTCTTGACATCATACAACACACAACACCCAGTAGACCAGTGGGCAATTTTATTTTGAAGCAAAATTTACCTGGCTGAAGTGGGAATCAAAGTCTAACATCGTGGTACTCACACACAGTTTACCTAAACTACTGATAACTCCACTATTCGCATGACCATTACGAATCATTTCATGCCAAAGAATAATTTTATTATATTACTAAAATGAAAGTCTGATAGCTTCATTTTGGAAGTCTCAGGATCTTGAAATGATTCTAAATTCCGGTATTTATATTTTTCTGGGTCCCAGATCATGAAATTTTTTGTTAGTCTGATTTTACTTGGAACTCTTCACAGGATATTTTCGCCCTTTTTTTTAGTTGCATTTGGATCATCCTACACACAGAGAAATATTTTTTAATTTCAACAAGATTCTGTATTGAATTCAATAAAAAAGAAGTTGTCTCCCGGCTAACGATAAATATTGTTGACACCAATAATTTTTTTTATTGACTTCAATGAAAATAATTTTCGTTTCTATAATATAGATAACTCATGGACCAAAACATATTTTCTTTGAAATGGTGAAACAATCTTTGAAACAACACTTTATATTTGCTAAATCAACTATTTCTATTTACTGAGTCAGCAATATTATTTTCTTTGAAATAGCGAAAAAATCTTTGAAGATACAAGTTTTATTTTTAGAATTAAAAAATAAATTTGTAAATCAACCATTGTTATTCTTTGAGTGAACAAAATACATTGTTGGTTCAATGATATTCCTATTTTGGTTTCAGTTGTTTGTCTTTTTTAAAAGAACAATTTGGTTTTTAATACATTTATTCCCTCCCCTTGGCTAGTTTTTGCACCTTGCTGTTGATGGGCGGGCTTAATTTCATGCTAGTGGAGTGTTGGAGACGGTGGGTTTATGGTCGGCGTTGCTGGCTCATGCCGCGATAGAATGGCGTCATGGGCAGGCAATGGAGATTACTGAGCTTCCCCTCTCTGATAAACCACTGCATGAGAGAACCAAAGATCTAGTCTAGCAGTGATAGTATCACACTTGTTACTCCTTTAATTGAGAGCCGCGTCGTAGTACGCTTACGTATAGGCACTGACGTTGGGTGTGATACTGGCGGGTTTTGCCGCAAATCACTATTATTTTATTTATTTTTACGCAGATAGATTCATTTGGGTTTGCAAGCGAATTATACTATTGAAATATTTCAGAAAGTGCCCAACAGTGCTCCTTCTATTTGCGTGACAAGCTTTCATTGTTGTTTTCATTGAATTATTACTCAGGAAACAATGTTAAACATCATTTTTGTACACGGTATTGTAACTAATCTTATACGTGCTTCATTTTGATTTGGGATAAGTGTTTGAACTATGGTTCGGGATTTCCACTGTGGTGTGCTTCTATTGTGACATACCCATATGTATTTTTGTGGTGCCACATAGTGGAGGCGTGAGAGCGTAGAACATTTACCCTATACAATATACAATTTAAAATTAGCTTGGAAACTAACTTCAAAGTGAAGCATTTGAGTCACTTGAAGGTGTCATCTGGGACGAACAAAGATATAATTAATATATGTAAAAGCCAGAAGTACTTAAAACATTTTAAATTGTAGTTTAAAAGCATGGGTTATGATTGTGTAGGTAGATTAGAGATTTCAGTTATTTATTAAATAAACTTCAATTATAGAATTCAGAAAGTTAATTAACATAAGAGATAGGACGTGGGGGGTCCGCTTAGGGAGGCGACTAGCCTATGAAGTTGTATAATAAATCTTCATATTTAGTGTATTTGTTAATTACAGACAATGTCAATAGCGAAAGTCATATCTTCAACCAGGCGCTTACGAACAAGTGAAGTTTTAGGAAAGATGTGTTAAATATGTTGATAGGTTTGAAATAAAAATTAGGATTGTTGTGCTTTAGTTTTCGGTAAGGTATGATGTGTCAACAAAGCCCTTTTGAGCAAATTTTCAAACATCAAATTGATTGAGTGATTTATTGAAAGACATTGCGAAAATTGACAAGTCATACATCTAACATAGTAGTAGTAGCAGTGTCGCATAATCTTATCACAATTGCTGCAAATAGTGCTGGAGGGGCCGGCAGGGCTGAATACGGATCAAAACTAACATAACTACTAACACTAAAATGATCCCGGAACTAACACTTATCCATTGCACTTTTAGTTATATATTAGTTTTATTTTTCTACTAAGTCATCTATGCTTCTTTCTATTGTTTAGATCAAGTACAACTAATACTAATCTACCTTTATGTATGTTTTACTCCCTTTTAACCCATTATCTTTATGAATGGCGAATCATATAACGTGAGACACGTACAAGCTGGAACTCAAAGAATTACTTCGAACAAGATGTCAAACAAATTCAGGACCAATCCAAATGAGACCAGAAACCAACAAGGCATCGGGGAGTTATATATTCTGGGAGAGGTATTGTATGTATGTATGTAAGGTAGCCACCATCCTTTCAAGACTTGTCTTGTATGCAGCTCCACTTAATAGCAAGATCAATTTGAGCTACCGATCTGAATTCACAATATCGCTGTATGAAGGGCCAAAAACGGTGGGGTGGAC